AGCTACACGCGTCCTTTGTTGCCTTTTGTCTGCTCTTTACAGCAACTTGTGTTTGAACTCACTGCTCTCCTGCTCCTCCAGCTCGGCCGCCTCCAGCTTGGCTCCCTGCAGCCCGGGATGGACGTACATGTCCGGGGACAGGCTGGTCTCCCCGCGGTCCTCCTCCCCCCGCACCGCCAGCGCGCTGAGGTAAGCCAGGTTGTCCTCTCCGTCCGAGAAGGAAGGGCTGTCCCGGGCCCCGGCGAGCATGCAGGACGGAGGGGTTTGGAAATGCTGCTGCTGCTGCTGCTGCTGAGGAGGAGAGGGGGCCAAGTGCTGCTGGCTGTGGACCCGATGCGTCAGCTCCAGGGACCCGGACTGCTGCTGCTGCTGCTGCTGCTGCTCCAGCTTGAGGATATCCTTGACAGAAAACGGCGTGGAGGTGAGCGGACTCTGCAGCATCATGTCATCCAGCTCCTGCTCTGCAGCATCGAGGAAATGAAGCCCGCCGAGTAACATGCACTCCCCTTCTCCCTTTCCACACTTTTTCCTAACAAATAATTGAGCTTAAAAGCCCCTTCTTTGGTAATTGGAGGTGCGTTAAGCCTCTGGAATCCCTCATCGCCATAAATCGCACGAAAACATGGGTATTAGTCCCGGGTTTGTCCATGCAGGTCTCCTCACTGACAGATATAATGTAGGGCTTTGTAAGGGGAGTTTGGACCGGGGCGAAGGAGCGTCTCTGCCTCCTGTGATGTCAGGGGGAGGGGTGTGTGTGAAATGGAAAGTCTGTGTGCGCTGGAAGGAAAGCGTTTGGGAGAGAGAGAGAGCCAGAGGGAGGGAAGGTGGGGCGTGCGTGACGTATTTGAACCCACTGGTTTTGTTTTTTTTTGTTGACTTGTGTGAATCTGGTAAACAGATAATTGCGCTCAGTTCCTTCACTGCCCGCTGGTTTCATCTTTCTGTACTCGCTGAATTTGCTGAAAAGCTCCTTTTACGCACGCGTTTCGTCACGTGAAACGCTTTTGGTTCAAGATTCACGCGTTTTTATTTGTCTCAGGCCCATACAGTGTGTGCAGTGAAATGCAAAGTGACTGTTGTCCAGGCTGACGAGAGGACATTAGAGGAAGGACAAATCTTTAAAAAGGCGAAAACAAAAACTAGAAAATTAGAAAAAAAATCACAATGTCATAAATAATGAGGCAGATATCTTAAAGTGCAGTGTGCATTGTGCAAGTGTGTGTGTGTGTGTGTATCCTTGCGTGCTTTTCTTGTTGTTGGTTATGCGTCTGTGCGCGCCTGTGTGCGCATAGACCTACATGTTATTTACATATTAGCAGACAGATGATGCAGCGGCTGTAAATAGATGACCCGTGCTTTTGTTGCGTTTAAAATTATGTTATTTACATTTGTCATCAGTCCACTTTGGGCAACGAGCTCGTGGTCCTTGTGCGGGTTCGTGCGTAATTCTGTGCGTAATTCTGTGCGCTTTGTGGAGAGACGCGCACACGGCGGCTCAGCCAGTGTGAGCAGCGCCACGTCAAGGTCAACGGCCAGGTCAAGGGATAGTCAAGTCAGCGAGGGGGGCCTTTAGCGTTGTAGGTTAACTGCAAAACGACAAACCGAGTGAGGTTTCATCATTACGTACAGGGACAGTGGATGGTTTGGTGCGTATTTGTCCTGTAAACGAGGTTTCTGCAGCCACGCTTTGTTAAACGAGAATTGATTTCAGACATGGGTGAAGGTTCTGTTCCAACTTAGGCATCCAAATCATCACAATAACCAAAGTTCTTTTCTAAAAAGATCTATTTATACTTTTAGAGCGACATCCGCTAACTGAAGGCCGCTCCAGTCGGCGGCTCCTTACAAGGACATCCCACAAAGCTCGCTGTTTTTCCAAATCTGTATTCCTTCCTCTAATTTTTTAGAAAAGATGGCAAACATCAGATTTGTCAGACTGTGCATCGGGGAATCGTGTGTAAACGACTCCACAAAACTTTCCCATTTCATAAAATTGCGGAACCATAAAAACGTCCGCTCGAGTTTTAAATCTGTCACTCACTCGTGAAGCACCATTCTCTGCTGTTTACTGCTCAACACTGAGCACCTATAAATCCTTTACACTCTCAGAACTCCAACAGACTGAAGCTATGTTGGATTTTTACGGTCTCCTCGTGTCCCTGCTGCAGCCTTGTCCTCCAGCAGCTGCTCGGTGTCCCTCTGTCCTCTTTATCGCGGGTGTTGTATTAATAACCGCTGTGGGCCGATAAGCAGGGCCCCCCGGGGCAATTAAAATTCCTCCAAGAAAACTGACTGACGTTTTTAGCCCGGCCTAATCTGCTCCTATCAGCTCCCCTTTCCGTTTTGCAGCGGGACCCCTCGCCTCTGTCAGCCCTCTGCCTGCGCTCCTGCCGCGGGTTTTTCCTCTCTGGACACTCGGCAGGTGGAGGAAGCTTCTGACAAACAAGCAGCCTGCAGCAGCAGCATGAAGAAAGTGTTCAGTTCTGAACTCAAAGGCCAGGTTATATGTCAAGAATGTCTGTTTTTTTTGTTGTGCTTAAAATGCTGTAACACATGAGTGATTTCAGGGCCTTTTCTTAAATTCTTCAAATATTTTTCTAAATAGTTTGCAGCTAAATGGAAAAGCCTTGAAATGAGCCCTCCGTATAAATACACTGTGTCCCAACTGTGTAAATCCAACCCTACTCTCTCTGCTCAGAGGTTTACTGGGAAGAGATTGTAAAGGAAACTTTTGGACCTGTTCAGCAAACAGCCACATGAGAAGACACAACATCTGGTTGGAGAAAACATTCCTACAAATTAAATGTAGTAGAAAATAATAATGTGGTTTAAAATGTAAAACAAACAGTTTGGGGGTTTTGTCAAAAAAGTAATTTTTCAACACAAACTTTTATATTTTCAATATGAAGTGAGGACGAAATATTTGTTTTATTGAACAAGAAAATGCTAAAAACATTTTTTTTCTAATCTAATTGACGATTAAATCATCTGCTGAGTGCACAGTGTACACAAGTTGAAATAATTAGGCAGTAACAGCTTTATATTTTTAAATATATTTTTGGGGCTTTTTGCCTTTATTTACAGCAGACAGATAGGAATGGGGAGAGACCTGCAGCAAAGGGAGTCGAACCCACGACGTCGGGGAGCTGTAGCCCCTGTTCATGGGTCACCTGCTCAGCCAGGTGAGTTATGGGGGCGCCTCAGGGTCCTAACAGCTTTATAGAATTTACTACAATGAACTCAAAAATGAAAAACGTGTTGATTTGACATAAAAACGACGTCAAACTCACTTGGATGTGCTCCTGTCGTCTAAACCTGACGTTTTGATGTCTCCTCGACACATTTCTGTGTCGGCTCCAGCTTCAGGAGTGGATCAGGATTTAGTGTCTGAAGGAAACCTTTGCAGGTAGAATCCAGACGTTTTGGACATCTTCTGAAATGTTCCTCTCAACTGCAGTGTTTCTGTTGCGGCTTTAGAATTACCAGTGTGGGCAAAACACCTCTAACGATGAGGAAAACCTTTTATATCTCGACGGTTTAACATTTCTTTTAGTTGATCTTTCTCCAACTCTGTAAAAATGCTAAATAACATCTTTCATGTTGTTTACAGCTAGCTGGAGAGGCCTCTGGTTTATTAGGATCCCCATTAGCACCAGCAGAAGCATCGGCTGTCCGTCCTGGGGTCCACGCACACAGTCACGCTTATACACACCACAAACAGAACGGCTCGTGAACATCACAATGAAGTAAAACCAGGTAGAGAAGCATGTTGTCATTCAGTACAGCATACATCAAATCATAAATCCATCATCATTGATCTTGAACTCACAGGAACTTCTTTCATATGTACAAACAATTCTTTATAATAAACATAGAACCAGAATGAGCTTAAACACCATCTTTATCCATCCTGTTCTTCGACCCATTGAAATCCAAGAAAATAGGGCAGCAGCACATTTTACATCCTTTGCTCTCAGCAGCATTACATTTTCTTCTGAAGCACCGTTTTCCTCGTCTGTACTTGTAAATATTGTCTCAACAGGTTAAAATATCAAAAAAGTTCATGGCCCCCAAAACTAATTTTAGAATTATTGGTTCGTGTATCGTAATGTCAGTGTTAAATGATGCCCCAGTGGCCAGCAGAGTGCCACAGCCTGACGTTTAGCAGCTGAGTGAGCTGACTTCAGGACTCTTCAGGAGTTTCCTGGTTTGTACACTGCTGCATCACGAATGGTCCAGTTTGACAACCGAGCAAACAAAAACAGGGACATTCTGAGCTGTGGGGTGTTTTATTATAACTATTATTATAGTTTGGGAGCAAAAGCACAAAGTCACGTCTGCTTTTATGCATTACAAATACTAATAACAGTGATGCCATGCAGACAACACTTTTTTATTTTACCTCTTAAATTGACAGTCGAGCATCATTTCATGCAGTAAATTAAAAAAAAACAAAAAAAGAAAACGCACAACTAAATCCTGCTTCAGGCCCCTCGCAGACCTGGGCTGGGTCTCCGTCTGAGCCAGCAGGTAGTAAATATCCGGCGCTGCAGCTCTATCTATGGAGCTGAGAAACAGACAGATATATGCGTAGCTGTCCCTCTAGACTCCTCGGCGACGCTCTCCAATTCACGCTATATCATCATCAGCGCGTCCTCGTAAAAAAGTGCCAAACAAGGCAGGATAGTGTTTAGACTGGCACACGGCCGCCTCCATTTACTTTAAATAAGCATTAAATCCAACGACGCCAGGCCCAGCGCTTGTGTTTTCTGTGTGTCAGATGAGCCAACACTCTAAAGCAGTCTATTGGAAAGAAAATAAAACCGGTGCAGTGACGGGACATTTGGAGGATTATTCCAAGAAAAGTCTCCAAACTGGGCTGCTGTAGATGTCCTTAAAGGGTCTGGGGGGAGGAACCTGTATTTGTTATGTGATGTGAGCAGAGTTTGTGGACGAAAGTCATGAAAAAAAGAAAAATCTCGGCCAAAAGCTGGTTGCATATTCATCCAGGTTCATGTTAAGTGATGCTACGTGACCTGAAAACCACACGTCCTGACAAAATGCTGTAAATTCCCACCACACAATAAATACAGCTTTTATATTTTCATTTTCTATGACGATTTTGTTTAAAAACTCTCTAAAGAAAGTTGGACTTTTGCACATTCTGGCACTTGGAAATTAGATTTTGTTGGCTGAATCATAAAAGGAGTTGAATTGAAATGTTATTTTCTTTGTTAGTATTTCTGTTAGTATTTTCTAGTCACTGATTTCCTGATGGTCCCCTGAAATCCTGCAGAGCTTTTTTAGCCTGATTTAACTCGTTGTTTCGGCAGGCAGCTATCACCACAAATATGTTTTCAAAATCCACCACCTGCACAGCAGCAGAAAAAGAAAGAAAGTAGGTCATCCCGCAGCTAAAAGGCTACATATGCCCTTTTAAAAGTTGCTCCAAATGTTAGCAGTTCCTCCCTGTTAGTACGGTGAACCTCAGGGATCCT